TCAAAGTATACGGAACTAGTAGATGACAGTATTTCAATATCAAATGATTACGGCCTTTTAGCGCTAACACTATTTCTCGTGGCCGTACATTGCGAGTAGAGTAAAAACACAACANGTACATTGCGAGTAGAATAAAAACACAACTAAATTCTATTGCACTCGCAATTTTACTGGTCATCAATACTGTTTTTACCTGTTCACAAGAACAGTATCGGTGCGAGTGACAAGTACTACGCATCGTGCAAACCGAATGTGAAAACCACACACATTGGCGATCAAGTGAAAATATACAAATATTGAGTTATTGCGCATGCGTTTAAAATAATTATATTCATAACCCTTTCAAAACGGTCGATTTATTAACTCACCATAAAATGGTAAGTATAAAATTGATAATGTTTGCTATTGGAACGTGTTGGTCAGCAAAATTAATTAATTCTGCGGCTAACAATAAAAACACTGGAAAATGAAAGAAAAAAAAGGAAATTCAACTATAGGTAAACAGTACATGTATTATTTGCAACCTTTAGAAAAATAATTAATTAAATTAACGTGTTTTTGACGTAAAATTGGTTTTTCCTGACAATGATGTCCTAATATAATTTAAACACTAACAGATTTACGTCTAAACTTTCCAATTTTTCACNTATTTAAACACTGACAGATTTACGTCTAAACTTTTCAATTTTTCACCAATAAAATGTATTAAAATTTACTTAATTGAAAAAATCAATACCAAACGTAATTAACAATTATTTTTGGTTTATAAACCAAAGATATTAAAAAAAGCAATCGCGTGGGGACCGAAAAGTTAAAAAATATATAACTTTCAGCTTACACACTTTGAATAAAACTATTAAAAAGCAATAACCTGAACACTAAAGGATTAATTGCACATCACGAGTTCTAACGACACATGGGACATATGTTTTAATTAAATATTTGTAAATGAGTTTAAAACAAGTTATTTTAACAGAGACAAAATTATTTCAAAATTGTTTATAAGAAATTGAATAAATCGTACAGAGTGATCACAAGCCACTCTCGCAAAATAAATACAATGTATAAAATATTTTAATTTTATTTGGTTACATCAATTTATTGAATTATCACCTACTAATTACTTTTAAGCATCATTCTTCATACCTTATAAAGATGTGTAACTTTACCTTTTAAAATAAAAACATACATTTTTAACTAGCTTATAGAAGTGAAAATAATCTAATTAAGCAAATGACGGGTCGATAAAAACTTTTAGACCCTAATTTCAGAAGTTATGACGGTTTTATAAAATAGACTAAGGGAGAGTACGACTATTTTATCATTAGACATATCTAGGCCGCTTTTCTCCTCCTGCCCGCGTATAAAAATATTATTAACTTTCGAAGACTGGTCCAAAATTGTTTACCGACCAGTCATTTTCTTGATAAAATGATTCCTATAAAGCTAGTTAAACATGTATGTTTCCACTAAAAAATAATTAAGTCGACACCTGTATAAGTTTTAAGGGATGATGCTTAAAAGTGATTAGTAGCTGATGAATCAACATATTCAACTAAAATAACCGAACAATGTATTTATAATATTGTTTGCATTTTGCGAATAATTGTGTGGTTTATGGTACAACGTCGCCCTGCATAGTTGTTAACTCAAAATACCTAACTACTCAGTGGGAAGTTTACGCAATTTATTTTAAGTAAAATTGAATTTCGTTATTTATTCGATGTAAACAACGGCATGAGTATTTTCTAGAATTTCTTCTATCCCAAAATGCATTATTTCTATTTGACACGATGCATTGATGTTTATCCGAAATTCGGCGTTGTGTATACTCTCATAAGTAAAAGTTTCATATTCTAAGAGGTGAGAACTTGGCGTACGATTAACAGTATTCGCCGAAACTTGGAATATTAAACTTTTGGCTTAGTGTATTTGCTAAAGGGTTTTGCAGCGAGTATAGTAAACCAACCGTAGTTTTATAATAATTGTACCGCGTGGGAGTTTAAATGTTTTCTTTTGCCATTAGCAATTCCCATTACCGTTATAAGTAAAACTAATTGTTTGCCGATGCTGTTGTATTTACTTTGGCGTCGTTTATTGTGTCGTATCGCGTAAAAACTTTTTGACGCGCAAATAGGTTCTCGTGGCTTCGCGATAATTTCTTTTTCGGCAAACGTACCAAAGTGCTTTTGAATACACTCGTGTCATTCCCACGGGGTCGAATCAAATATTTGACGATACTTAGATAGACAGGCAGTTGTAAATTCATTAGTACTAAATGATCCCGCGTGATATTTCTTTACCCTCACAAACAGTCGCACCACCGCATTGAAAACGACCGACGACGGAATCTCCACGAAGGGAACCTTTTCGCGGGCTGTGTAAACGCACGGAATCTTTTGGATCCGTAGCAGGTACGTATATCTATACAAAGCTGGCAACGATGCTCAGTAATTGAGTTGACTGCGGAATCCGGTAGAAAACGTTTGAATTGACGTATAATAATATGAAATTGCCGGTATTGGTTAAAGGGGAAAACGTAAGTCAAAACCAATACACAATTCGACTCTGAAGTGCCGAGAAACTAGATAGCATGTTTTCAAAGGTCGGCGGCATAGCAGTGGCCAGGGAAATAAACTGCGCTGACCATTCGAAATTAACTTTTACTGTTAAATCGTTTAATCGAATGAATTCAATCTGCTCGTCCAAGTTTATACTCAACTGCATTGGAACACAATTTTTGGTCGCTTTAATCATTTTTGACTGTTACTCGCAACGCGCATTAGGAGCCCACTGTAGTCATCACTTCAGGAAATTTACTATTAAATTGACATCTTATAGTTTGGCTGACAGTTCAAAGCGCGAACAATCAAATTAGTAATACGCTGCGTTAATTTCATCAGTGGTTTGAACTTTTAAAACGTTTTACAGTATTTACAAAAGCATATTTCATTTTCACATTACATCCAACCACCAATATGGACAACTCGTAAATATTTAACTGCAAGAAGGTAGTAAACCAGTCGGTCTTTAAACGAAAAGTAAACAATCAAGTGTATATTTAACCAAAACNTGAAACGTAAACAATCAAGTGTATATTTAACCAAAACATTCGGAAAATGTTTTGTCCAAATGAGTGTTTAAATAGTTCCAATTAGTTAAAAAAAAAAACCCTGATAATTCTTATGTTTCAATTTTATATCACTTTGTTACAATGTTGTGTAGCTACAGTTTAAACGTGTAAAATATTTCGATATATACAAACGTCATTATTTGATTATTAAAACTAAGTTAAAAATCACAACAAAAAACTATATATCATCACATAACCCACGGAATTAGTTTGAAAATCGACTACGAAATAATTTTATCATTTTTCGCGGCCAATATTAATTCCTTTGATTTATCAAAATTGAGTTAGTACAAAGAAATGTGTGCATTTTTAGTTACACGCGTGTGTTATCGAAATGTCTAAAATCAAAAAACGACCACAACTAGTACAAAGTAACATATTCGTGCGCTAGAAAGAGATAGTTATTAAATTAAAAATGTATGCACATACCGCAGGTTGTTTTCGTTGTTTTTTATAACAGGGTAGTTTGTAAGTAATCAATAAAACTAATAACGAAATAGATGTATTTTCCAATAGCCTTAGTACTATTCTACCTACTTTGTTATTCTTTTAAATAATAGAAACCTAGGTAGTATCGATTGTAAAAAACATATAAAAGTAGCTTTCAGTTAACTTCAATATTAACGTTTTTCCAATGCTGGTCAAACTCATGACATATTCATAATCTCTATGCCAATTCTCTGGAAACGTAAGCACATAGTGACTAACTTCTTTCGCCCTCCCTCCGTCCTGCGTTTGTCTATACCGATTCCTCGTCGTTTTTAAAGTCAACGTCTAAATATAGTTGAAAGTTTATTCGTCACGAATATGAAAACCTACCGAAGAGTATTATATAGGGAACCCATAAGTCACGATCGTTATTATCAAAAGTCTATTATTATCTCAGGAACCCTCTAACAAGGGTAAGCCTGTTATTATAAAGTATTCCATGAAATATTCAATGGCATAGTCTATAAGTAAACCTATATTTTCTAAGTATCAGAGTTCAAATTATGAATTAAGAATAACTATCATTTTGTGGAACTATACGAAAAACAACTCGTCCAATGAAAAAATGTGTTCCAACTTCGTAACCTATATAAAAAAATACATTATTCAACAACTCAAATTTTGCCCATGAACCGATTTTAACTGGGAAAAATAATTAACTTGGACTTTGCTGTATGCCGTTGTCTAAAAATTCAAAACTCATCAGATTTTATTCTCTAAATTGTAAAAACCGTTTCGAGTTCACTTTTGTAAGATATTTCAATATAATGTCTATTCTTTATAGCGCCCAGTTAAATTATTTAACGTGTTTTGATTTTTACAAAACAAGATACATGTGAAGTTATGGCCATGAAAATCCTATTGATCTCAAAAGAAATAAAACAAGTACACGTTATTAAAAATACCACCTTGCCCTCGCTAAATATAAAGGATTCGAGTCTTTTAAACATTAAACGTCATGTTTGATAGTCACTGACCTGAAGTCAAATCTGTTCTTTAAGCAGACAAAAGAAATATTCATTACTGAAAAAATTTCAGTCGACCCGTCTACAACATAATTTCGTTGAAAAACACTACCCAAAATCTGAACTCTTTGATCATATTTTGGTTAATCGTAATTATTGTCGTAGAACAAAAAGTGAACAATTATTAGTTTCGTAAAAATCAAATATTCATTTGCATAAAAATGTTTTCGTGCGTACAATAAGCCTATAGAAAAAAATTATTGTAATAAAAAATTACTNAAATCAAATATTCATTTACATAAAAATGTTTGTACATAAGGCTATAGGAAAAAATGATTGTAATAAAAAATTACTAATGCTCTAACTCTAAATATGTAAAACTGCTTTCCAAATAGATTTAACGAAAAACTTACTTTTTTCCACTGGTGCCATTTAATGCTGTAAGAGCTGCTATCCTATTAGCGTTATTGTCTACTGGATTCTGAGCTTGCGTAGGTGACAGTTTGGCGGCCAACGCGTTAAGCGTGTGTAACATTTCGACTGAGTTTCCAGACGCTGGCCAATCTGGGCGCATGTGGATGATCCTTTGATTCTTTAATATCTGTCAATCAACACTGTCGCCCGGACAGCGTCCACTCCTGGTCGGGTACTTTTAGCCAGAAAACAATGCTAATATTTTCTACGGACGTGCCAGCGCACCATGGCCGTGTCTTAGAAACAGTCACAATCGCACACTTTAAGCATAACCCATACGAAAACCACTAGTTAAGTTAAGAGCGAACGCGAACACATCAAAACAAATGGTCGGACGGCCGGCGTTTCCGCACAAATCGAACGACACAATAAGCCGTTACTTTTTATAGTGAATTGTGAAATATTATTATTGTGTTTGGGGTGCGCGGCTTGTCCGTAGCTGTTGAATAGTTGACGTGTCGTGGTGAAGTGTGTAACAGACGTGTACCCTGTTAATAATACAACAGAAATATAGAATTACATGATTGAAAAATGAAAAACTTAGTATGTGCATGATTTCAAAAGTCTTAACGCAATTTCTTAACTTTGTTAAAAAAATCAGTTGCGCGTATCTTGTGTTATACTCTGAACGGTACAAACTTGTTTAAATGTCGTACAGAGTGTAGGAAACTTTACAAAGCGTTTCTAATGGGCACTGAGGAACAACTAATGTGCAACTGATTAATACGAATAAGTAAGCTTTTCGTTTAACGCGGCCGCTCAAAGGAAATCAATGAATGTAAAAGAGCGTTAAGGATGGAAAAAAAGTCATAAATATAATAATCTGGTAACAAAGTTTTTTATTGCTTTCGATATGATTGGTTCCAACCAGCTAACCCTTATAAAAGAGGACACTGTATTATTTGTTTATATATTTATACGGGGTTAGTGGGGCTCGATTTTTTATCGCTACCAATCGCGTTTTCTTCTCTTCTAAGAGTTTTAGTTTTCAGAGTAATAAAAATGAAATAATGATGAATAAGTACGTGTCGTTGTTCAATAAGAAGACGAAATAATAGTCTTTGTTATACTGCATTTGCAAGCATGTGTAATAAATTCTTTTAGTCAAGATTTTCACGACTGAATTGATATATTTACATAGGACACTCGCGAGACGCCTCGTATTTCAATACAAATTTCGAGAAATCTAAAACAACTCCCACAGAAAATGTCAGAGCTTCTTGTGCAACTTACATAACAACACTATATATTTTCATCTAGTATTAAATCCTATGTTTTTTGTTTATCTTACGATAAATATCACATTTTTTCCTCTGCAATAATGTTTTTTTTTAACGAGTCATTATTTTTCAATAAATATTTTATTACGAGTATATACAAATGTGTATTATATACGAAATGTGTACAAACTCGAAAACCAATTATTGACTCATAAAACTAATAAGCTATGTTATTTAAAGTAAATTAAATTAATACTTCAATTCTAAAATCTCTCGACTTGACTCGAGAGCAAAATAATTGACTTTCATTGAATTGTGAAGCAACTAACGGATTTTGATTCATTTATTTTTTATGATTATATTCCTGTTACTACTGCAAATAAGAAGTGCTCCATATTAAATTTCACCAATTGCGGAGTTATTAGTTCCAGCTAAACATTAAGAACCCAAATGAAATGCCACGCCTGTCACAACTCAAAATCCAATCCTGCAGATTGTAATTCTTATTTAATCCGTTCATAGAAGCATTGGATTACATTCGAATCCTGAATTTATTAGTATGCATAAGTGTTACGAAAGCAATTAGATATTTAAATTAGTTTTGCCTGCACTATTTCAATATCACACTATAATACACACGAAACGTGATGATTGAAGTGCAAAACTATTAAGCAACAATATTGATAATATAACTTTAAAAGTTTTACGGTGATATTGATTGTAATAATTTTTATTCTAAGAAACTGCGGAACATATGCAGTTTAACTCTCACACGATTTTTTCGATTTTTTTTACACTTGTTACGAATATGCAGAAGTAGCTAAAAAACTATAGTAGTAAAATTTACATATAACACTTTTATTAGGCCTCTCATTAATAATATTCCTAATTTAGTTTTTGTGAACGATACATAAAAAAAAAGTACTCGAATTGAAAGTACCTAAAATTAAAATTCTAATTTCAGAAACATATATCCCTTCATTTATACTTTTAAGTTCAATTTTTCGATATTTTTTTAAATAATATGCATTTTGGTACAAATTTTATTCGTTAAAATAAATTGAAGGTCACCTACACTTGCCTAACTGATCCAAGGCCCATTGGGACTTTCGTAGTATCGTTTACGCTCTCAGAATCCAAGAGGAAAGAAACTTTAGCCTAATTTCAACCTATTTAAACCCGTTAGACTAAAAGATATAGTGAACCCGACAAATCCAAGCCGTCATACAAAACGGAATAATGTTTTTACTATAAATGAGAAAAATATAGGCGTGAGCGTTGTCTGATAACAGCGTTATATGCAAATTTTAAAGTGTTATAACTGTCTAATTATTTCTGACCGACATTTTATTTTTGCACACCCGTTATTAATATAAAAAACACATCGATTAAAAAAAAATCTTGAGTATCGCGTAGAAACTAAATTACATAAATTGCATTTGTGCCAAAACTNATAAAAAACACATCGATTAAAAAAAAATCTTGAGTATCGCGTAGAAACTAAATTACATAAATTGCATTTGTGCCAAAACTTTAATTTTTCATTCTTAAAA